TTGGGAGTCACAGGGCTCCACAAGACGACATGGTGCTGCCACCACAGCTGTACAGTGGCTCAGTTTGGTTGGCCAGTGCATGGGAAGAAAATTATTCTGCCTGACTGTCATTAGATGAAGAAGTATACCAAATTCATTAATCTGTATCCCGTTCGCAGGTCTTATCCCTGCCTCATCAGCTCATTCTCTCCAAGAATTTTTTTTTTTTTTTTTAAAAAGGGTTTTCTCAAAAATATTCCTAGAAAAAAAAGGTCTCCAAACTGGAAGAACAGAACGGTCCAAATGCTACAGTAAATCAGTATCTATGGCTTGCTTTGACTCCACTGAGGAGAAAGCACTGACAGTAAGAGTTGTTCAAAATACTTCATGGACAAGGCCTATCCAAGTCTGTCCCATCTATATCTGTCTACATTATTTCTATAGCTTGCCTCTAGGGAGCTGGCAAAGTGCCAGCTCCCTCTTGGCATGAACATTCTAGATTACAGGGAAGTGGTTGGATTTGGAATAAATACTGAGTATCAATTACAGTATCAGAAAGCGGTTAAGCAAACCTCCTAAGAGAACTGGAGAAATGACAAGTTCCTTTTCAGTTTCAGAAGGTGGCTGTTCATGTTGACATGGGAGTCAACTATATTCATGTGTGTCCCTCTCTGAGAAAAAGACCAAGACAATAAAAATCGGATTTTCACTATCAGTATTATCCCTAGATAACTGCATTGGAGTTTGAAAAGCGTATTAGAATTGGCATAGTCAAATCCAGTGATACTTCAACATACAGAGTGACTCTACATGGTTCTATCTTGTATGAGATCTAATGGTTGCAAATTTAGTGGATCTAAAAGTGGATTTTTCAAAAGTGGTATGATGCTGGTTTTGACACCTTTTTTAGCTAATAGGATAAAGTTACTGTAAACAGACCAGCCTAAGAATGGCCTCTGTCCAACCAATCAGACACCGAGTATCCTGCTGTAATTCAACTACAGAGAAGATTAACACTTTTTATACCACACCCTCACCCCTTTCACTTTTACAGTAGGGCCATATCTCTGTGCTCAACTAAAGGACAGTAGGAGCAAACAAACTACATTGGCTAATAAAAAACCCCTGCAGAATACTAAAACTAAATGTACACTGTTTGGAGGGTACCCACAATCAAAGTTGCTCTGTGAAGTTATTTCTTGAGTGCAAATACAGTATGACCACTTCAGAGCCAACAATTTCCCCCTTCTCTCTTTACCAAGGACAGTAATACTAAATTCCATGGGTTTGCCCTGCTAACCTGGGACAGATAGGCCTGATTGGCAGCATAACTGGATGCTCAAAACTTGAGACCAGATCTCTAAAGCACACCACCAATTTGAGTGCTTTAAATAAGTTATTTATCAGAAACAAGAAAGCAGTATGTTTTGAATTGATAGGCAAGGTTATGACACTTTAAAAAACATTTCTATATACTTTGAATCCATAAAAAATACCACCAGTTTACTTCTCAGAAATATTTTAAATACAGATATTAAAATTTCTTTAGGTTTTCCTGCCACTCTGTTTCTTTGTGTCCCTTGCCCAGCATGGGTCACCCACCAGCCACAACCACTTGGATTTGCTCCCCTGCCCTGGCTTGGGCTGCCCACAGGCCACAGATCCTTCAGAGGTGTCCTGCCTTCTGCATGGAGTGTCTCCTTTCCAGGATGCACCTCCAGCAGCATATCTTCAGAAGTGTGGCTCTGGCAGTATCTTTGGTAGCTGTATCTCTAGCTCCTAGCTGCCACCAATTTTTTTTCTAAAATATGTTTGGGCAGGGCCACTATGTGCTTCCCTGGATCCCAGAAGATCCAGCAGGCAATGGTTATTCACATGGCTTTCAGAGCTGACTGGAACCAGCTGTGACAGCCATAGGGTGGTTCATGGCCTCCTCCCACACAGGTCACATTGCAGTCCACTGCTACTCACACCCTGCAATTTATGCCTAAATATCAGATAGTTCCCTGTCTGATAAAAACTTGAAGCACTTGTCCCTAATAATATTTGAGCTTAAAAAGTAGACACCTCATCACTTTTGCTGAAAGGCACCTTGATTCAATAAAGAGATCTCTGAATTCAGTCTACCAGGGGCAATAGGTCACTGACCACTCTCCAAAATTGCTTAGCCTAGACAACTGAGTTTTTACTAGCGCACTAAAAAACAGTTGGTAATATGCAAGATACTCAATTCTGCTTCTGCATGATCTCCCTACACAAGAGGCATGGTATTACCTATGTCTCCCTTTTTAAAAAAATGTTTTATAGGTTAGGAATGTCAAAGGCACTCCTAACTTCATTCAGCTTTTCCCCAGGAAGAAGGAGCTTTTCCCATCAAGAGTCTGTTGTGTTATCTCTCTCAAGAAACTTTTGGTTAAGGACAAACACACTCTCACAAAATGTTTCATACCATCACATGACTCAGTATTCAAGTATATCCCATCAGGACATGGTTACATGTCCAGACACTTCACAGAAGTATACATCTCGGGTAATTTCTGATGTCAGTAAGCCAAATACATGCTATCCTAAGGAAGAAAAACCCAGCCTTAAAAAAAGAAAATGAGCTTACAGATAAAAAGATATGGAAAGTTGTAGGGGAGACAACATGACCCAATACGCCATAATCTAAGGGCTAGTGAATTAACACTACAGAAGTACTTTGATTAAACACTATCAGGAAAAAAAAAAAAAAAAAAAAAAGAAATCTCTTGTGATCTCAATTCCATGATAAAAGTTTTATAAAGTATCCGATACAGGAAGATAGTAATGAATTTTAAATCAAAAGTCCCATCATATATAAATTCATAGGCAGGAGAGTTTTTTGTTATCCAGTCATACATTAATAAAACTTATGGGAAAAGTGGGTGTCACTATTTTACATATCTGAAATCATTAATTCATAAACCATCATACTATTTTTGATCAGGAAAGGTCGTGTTTCCCAGAGATTAATTAACTTAATTGTATTTTTCAGTGTTTGGCTCTAAGATTAGTGGACACTATGTACTAGCAGCAGTAAGTGCTTCTAGTTTATTTAGAAGATCGCTTACTAGCTTTTAAAGAGATATCTAGCAACAGATACCAAAAGAAAAAAAAAAAAGAAATACTTTTCTGCATTTATTAATTTTAGGAAAACATAGGTTGACTTCTAAATAAGGGACCATGTAGCTCAGGAAAGCAATGTTGAACACAGAGTCTTTAAAATTCCAGTTTATATAACAGAAACTGTAAGTATAACTTATTTAAGTGTAACTGAATTACTTTAAATAATTGTTACAAAGACAATGTAAACCTACCCCGCCCGCTAATCGCCCGCCTAATTTTTAATCCAGTGTTTACACATTTGGAATATAGGATGAGAAGAAACAATAAAATGCTATATACTTACTCGGATCAGATTTAGAAAATGTATCCCTGTCCAAAAGATTTCTGTTAAAAAAAAAAGAAAGATAAAAATCTTAGTTATAAAAAATGGTGAAAGATACAAATCAGATACCCATGCATATATATTTTTTTTTAACAATTTTGATCAAGTCATCTTAGTTTCTGCCCTCCTAATATGTAAGATTTACTCCAAGTCAGTCAGCACTAATACTTGAGTCATCTCACATTTCATTTTATTATACATTTTGGATTTGAGGAAACTGTGGCTCATATAATCCAATAACATGAAGTGAAAAGTAACACATCACCAGCACATTAAATATATATATTGGACATCAGGAACAGAAATACCTTTAAATCACAAATCTCTACCAGAGGTTAACTTGCTAGTTGAACCCGAAAACTTTACACTTTACTTAAAAGAATGGCTACGAGATCTCAGAGACATCAGATAATATCTGTAAGAATCTGTCATGGATGAGTAAGATAAAGAGTACTAAAGCATACACAGGACATACATCAAAATTAGGAATTTTCAAAATATCTACAAAATACCTGGTAAGAACTAATTTCTTTGTTATGCAATGCAGTTCCAGTATCGTAGCCACACTTCAGCCAACTGAGAATCATACACAGATGAGGAGCCTCAAATTAACAATAAGTCTAGAGAATCAGGACTGACCAGAATAGTTCTCAGAACAGTTACCAACATTTCATCATTCAAAAATAAAAATAAACATTTTAAAAAAATAGTATCTTGACAAACTAGAAGAATGGTCTGAAAACAGGATGCCATCAAACGGGGACAAGAAAGAGCTATTAGACTTAGGCAGGTAGTGCAAGGCAGGTATTAAACTTAATCAGTAGCAAAAATGCAGCAGAGCTGCATATAGCTCCATATACAGCAGTTATGTCAAAAATGGTTCTAGACATCACAGCACATCACTAATTGAATGCAGGTCGGGAATCTTGTGCCTTAGGGAAAAGGCATACTGGAATGCATAAACAAAAATGTCACTTTAGAGTACTTGTCAGGTCTTTGTAACACTGGTAAATACTCAATTCAAGCAATAATGTTTTGGGCACTCCAATTTCTTGCAGTCTAAGACAGACGTGGAGCTACCGGAGTCCAGTAGAAGCAGAAATAATCAGAAGGCTATAGAATTTATCTATGACAAAAACACTGCTGCAAATTGAAGCTGATCTCCATGTAATGTAGACAGAGCAGGTAGGAAAAGGTTTAACCCTAAATTGAATGTTCTGCACTGCATGCACAGAAGTTGAACTTTATTTTACCATCTTTCATTGTTAAAGGTGGCCAGACATGATGTGAAATCTCCACCACTGAAGGTCTTTAAGTTGATCATGTTAGGTAGTTACAAGTCCAAATAATTCTTTCATCCTACCCTGGAGCAAGAGGAAGGATTAAATAACTAATTTACATCCCTTACAGCTTATTATTTTTAATAATTAGTACAGCCTCTTCAAAGGTCACCATTTATTACTCTCATTTAGATCTAAATCACATTATTTTTGTGCTACTGAACAGTGCTGAAAAGTGTATTAACATGTTGCTCAATACAGGTGTTATAAGTGGTCCACTCAGACTTCAACAAGGAAAAGATACTGTATTCCCAATTTAGGTATTGCCAAGTCCAAATTTCAAAACAAGCAATATGAACAAAAGATAGCTTTAAAGGAACGTTGGGTGCATATGTTTTATTTACTTTAGCCAAAGTAGGCACGAGGATTAAAATTAGTATTTGTGAATGTACCTGAAGTCTGTACATGCTACTTCTTCAGAATTTCTCTAATCCATTCCGAAGTGGGATTTTTCTATATGCATTTAATTCTACTCTGAGAGACAGTATTCAATCGTAACCAAAAATCATAGAATCATAGAATGGTTTAGGCTGGAAAGGACCTTAAAGATCATCTAGTTCCAACCCCCCTGCCATGGGCAGGGACACCTCCCACTAGACCAGGTTACCCAAAGCGCCATCCAGCCTGGCCTTGAACACTTCCAGGGATGGGGCATCCACAACTTCCCTGGGCAACCTGTTCAAATGCCTCACCACCCCCACAGTAAAAAATTTCTTCCTAATATCTAATCTAGATCTACCCTCTTTCAGTTTGAAACCATTCCCCCTCACCCTGTCACTACCTCCCCTTGTAAAAAGTCCCTCTCCAGCTTTCCTATAGGCCCCTTTCAGATACTGAAAAGCTGCTATAAGGTCTCCACAGAGCATTCTCTTCTCCAGGCTGAACAACCCCAACTCTCTCAGCCTGTCTTCATAGGAGAGGTGCTCCAGCCCTCTGATTCTCTTTGTGGCCCTCCTCTGGACCTGTTCCAACAGGCCCATGTCCTTCTTGTGCTGAGGACTCCAGAGCTGGACACAGTACTCCAGGTGGGGTCTCATGAGAGCAGAGGAGAGGGGCAGAATCACCTCCCTCGACCTGTTGGCCACACTTCTTTTTTTGTGGTCCAGGATACAGTTGGCCTTCTGGGCGGCAAGCGCACATTTCTGACTTATGTTGAGCTTCCGATCAACCCCCAAGTCCTTCTCCTCAGGGCTGCTCTCAATCCATTCTCCACCCAGTCTGTATTTGTGCTTGGGATTGCCCCGACCCACATGCAGGACCTTGCACTTGGCCTTGTTGAACTTCATAAGGTTGGCATGGGCCCACCTCTCAAGCCTGTCCAGTTCCCTCTGGATGGCATCCCTTCCCTCCAGAGTGTCAACTGCTTCACACAGTTCGGTGTCATCGGCAAACTTGCTGAGGGTGCAAATATAAATTGAAATACTAACAAACCCAGGAAAATCAGAAATTCCAAGTCTGTATTTGACAATGATGACTACAAACTGCTTTAAAAGACAGTACAGTAAATTCTGCAATATCAGAATTGCCAATCCAAAATGAAAATTGCCTCCTCTTCCTCTTTAATTATACATACCTAGATATGCCATTAATTCACGGTAATTAGAATTGGGTTTACTATCCCAAAATGAATTGCTATAAAAACCTAGAATTAAGGTCATATGAAATAGTATATTAGGTTTTGAGATAGGACTCCCATGCTCACCATTAGGATTTCAAGCAATTTCAACTCCTCTACATAAATATCTTATAATTGGTATGTTACTGTTTGTGACTGCAGATTAAGATTAAACCATTTTAATGACTCTTATACTAAGCTATGGTGCTTTGAGTTTTTTAAAAATTTCCTACTCTTATTTTGTTCTTCTTTAAGTTTTCTTCCTCTATTTTCCCATATACATAAGAACATAAAGAATGGCCATATCAGGTACTGTAAAGCTCAGTCTATCCTGATACTCTTATTCCAGCAGTTGCAAAAAGTAGCCACCACGGCAACAGCAAAAGAACAAGGTACGATTCAAATACTTCCCAAGAATTCTCAGGGACTTCTTGAATTAAGAACATTTCTACATAGACAGTATCCCTGAAAGGATTGTAAAGGTTGAGATACCAAAGTTTAACATTGTAAATACGGCCAGTAAGTGTCATTAATTCAGAGTTTTGAACTAATACAGCTTGTAATACCCTCAATTCGACCCTTCACACATTTTACCATAAATAAACAGTGTCTTCAGAAAAGTTTGCAGACATGCCTGATCTTCCAAATCACTAATAACCAACCAAAATAGTAACATAAGAACTTAATAAGCTGTTCAACCAATGCAGCCAGTTTCAGAAGGAACTTGAGGACTAGCACCAACAGACAAAAAAAAAATAATAAAAGTCTGATATGTCCACCAAATCATCTAACAGATCAAGAGGCTGCTTAATTTAACTTGTACATTTTCATTTCAGGGGGGAAACAACCAAACTGCTCCTTTAAATATATGAAAATTGGAGAAATATATAAAAAAGAAGAAAGACTTCTTGATGTATTTCTGGAACTTTATGTAGTCATTATCCCCTTAATAGTCAATGGCACTTTCTGCACAAGCAGAGTGATCATAGAATCATAGAATTGTCTAGTGTGGAAGGGACCTTTGAGATCATCAAGTCCAATCATCAGCCTACCACTGCCAAAACCACCACTAAACCATGCCCCTAAGCACCATGTCTACCCATCTTTTAAACACCTCCAGGGATGGTGACTCAACCAGTTCCCTGGGCAGCCTGTTCCAATGCTTGACAACCCTTTTGGTGAAGAACTTTTTCCTAATACCCATCCTAAACCTCCCCTGGTGCAACTTGAGGCCATTTCCTGTTGTCCTATCACTTATTACCTAGGAGGAGAAACAGACCCCCACCTTGCTACAACCTCCTTTCAGGTAGTTGTAGAGAATGATAAGGTCTCCCCTCAGCCTCCTTTTCTCCAGGCTAAACAACCCCAGTTCCCTCAGCCACTCTTCATAAGACTTGTGCTTTAGACCCCTCACTGGCTTCGTTGCCCTTCTCTGGACACACTCCAGCACCTCAATGTCTTTCTTGTAGTGAGACGCTCAAAACTGAACACAGTATTCAAGGTGTGGCCTCACCAGTGCCGAGTACAGGGGGACGATCACTTCCCTAGCCCTGCTGGCCACACTACTCCTGATATAGGGTGTATTTCCTTCCTTTTTCTGAGAAAAGCATTCTCTTTGGTATTCCACTATTTTGTTTCAGGAAACAGTCCTGGGAAAGCTCACAAACTCAGAAACCAGAAATACCTGAAACTTCTGTTTCTTCCGCCCAATCAAAGTATCAAGAGAAAGAGACTTCTATTTTGACTGAACATGGTGAGTATATTTTTCTATGCCCATTAATCCTTTCAGATAAAGAATGCAAATAGAAAAGAGGGGGAATTGCTATCAATTATGAGAAAGAAAAAAAGAAAAAAAAAAGAAAAAAAGATGTATGCTTTTACCACCTGGAGAAACATGCACATCAAATACCCACAGCAAAGCAGCCTTGGCACATCTGTACAGAAAGCATTATTCTACTATCACAGATCCTCAAGGAATTCATTCAGCACCTGCCTGATCTGGAATGGACCTTCCAAAATGGTTGCAATAGCAGAGAAGATGACTAAG